AAATTTACTTCAAATTCGCCTCGGACCTTTCTTTATTTGGAAAGTATCAATTTGAAAAAGTCTTTATTTGGGAAGGTATACTGCCCAAATCAAACATTTTTCAAAACGCTTCATACTTGACGAAGTTTTGAAGTAACAAGCATAAAAAATACAACTGAATTGATCTTTCGTCTTGTTCTGAAGTCGATTAAAAATAATGTATGTGATGAAAAGTAGGGTTAGAAAATAATATTTAAGTGTGTTTGGAAATATCGACACATCCCTGTCACTAAGCACTATGGTTATTTTATTTTAAGTCATTTGAAACCGTTATCATGCACTGTAACTGCCTTAATACACATGTATGCACTTATACCATTCTAACTGTCACTCACACACTCACAGTATACAAAACCAACAATATTATTACTTTTTAAATTTAAGATTGAACTAAGTTTATATTGTAAGACTTATCAGTCCAGCCGATTTGATATATTAAAACAAAAACAGGCCGGCTAGTTAGAACTCGATGTGAACACGAACTGAAGGTCGTTTTAAGAGTACACATTACACATACAAAATAAACAAGTCTTATTAGGTAACAGATAATAAAATCTAGAAGATGCTTGTTATTTTTAACACTATCCTAATTGCCTAACTTATATTAAAAATGAGAATTTGAGGTTGTTTGTTGCGATTTCACACCTTTACTTGACCAATCATCAAGTTACTTTAAGTGTACCTCTAAAAGAAATACAAAAGAATTGATAATTAAATACAGATTATAAATTAAGATGTATTTTTTTATGTTGTATACCTTTTGTAATTAATAATAACAATAACTTTACATATCACACACACGACTGTCAGATTCCAAACTAGGCAGTGCCTGTGCCTGTGTTTAAGAAGCCATAGTGCATACGTGTGTGTGAACTTTATAGGAAGACTAAAATATGTATTTTATCAAATTTATAAAACTAAACATACGCTTTTTTTTTATAAAAGACAACTGTATTACAAATATACAAGAAACGGACACAAAACACCACGACTTAGAACAACAATTTGTGGATCACACAATGTGTCGTCGGAAGCGTAGTAGTGAGCGGCGTGGCGACCGCTTAAATCACTACGCTATGCGTGCAGTCAAAAATTGATAAGCATTGATAAGTAAGTTAATTGATTGCTTCTTTAATTTCAATGTTATCAGATAAACACTTGATATTTGTAATTTTGGATGCCGTGTTTACTGGTGGAGTTGTATCTTTTTAAAATAAAATAAAATAGAGGTATAGATTGAAATACGAGTCGAGACGTTCATACTTCTGCACTTTAATCAGCACGGCTCTTCTTATGACGTAAGACGTTCACTTTAATCAACACGCACTTTTTATTATTAGCAATAGAGTAGTTAAATAGTTGGAAAACAAAAATCTTTTATCACAATCACAATATGGTTTCAGAGCAAAGAGATCAACACCAGATGCAGCATTGGCTCTTACCAGCTATATAGTTAACAACGTAGACACTAAACAGAAAACTATATGAAGATTTTTAGATTTAGCAAATGCGCTTTACACAGTTTCTGTCCCTATCAGTGTCAGGTGTCAGGTGTCAGGGATCTATAACTGAAGCTCTTACAAGATTACCTGATTTTTTTGTGGTAGTTTTGCTCCCCATTTCTCATCAATACAATGATAATGTGCCACAGCGAAGCGTGGCAGAATACAGTTAGTACGATATAAATATTATCTTTATGTAAATGTAACATTTAATACAGTTCATACTTAAGTGGCAAGATAAGTATTTTCAATTCTTTTCAATATTAATTGTTAAATCTTAACAGAATTGAGCTCATGTCTTATTCTATTGTAACGCATATGTGTACATACGTTACAATAGAATAACACGTGTATATCCATGTGTATATATGTATTTGTTGTTGAAAAGTTTCTGTTGTAGCCATAATAAGAAACAAGGATTTTCATTTTTCCTCCTTTAATTCTTACAAAACAATTGGTCTTTTCAATCAGATATATCATACTTTGATTGAATTATGTGTTTTTAAACCACATTATATATTTAGTACACATATATTAATACGTGAAGAGGGTTCTTTGTAAACATTTTTATTTAAAAACGCAGGCATTTGGAATTTAGAAAACACGAAGCTTATGAAGGCAAGGCAAAATACTTAAGTTTTCAAACAATAAGTGTTACAAAATCATGCGTTTAGTGTATTTTTTGACCGGTCATGAGACGTAAGTGTAAACAATCACAATTAAGTTACGCTCGCAGTTGAAATAAAACAAAAATAAATGAAATTGGAAGACGAAGTGATCTCTAGTTTGAGTAATTGGCATTTAAAATATGTTTGTCCAAGTTTGTTTAAATTTAATTTACATCGAAATGCTAAATGGCAATTATGCCATTTCAAGGTAAGACAGGCATGAGTCGTCAGACGTCAATGACTGACTGTTCTTTGTTGTTTGTTTTTCCTACCAATCAAAATAAAATAAAAAAATATGTTTGTAATACGCATTTAATATAAAATTTTGCTTTATTTTTGTATTAGTCACAAAGAAAATATTATTAACTTTTATAGCACTGTCTGTGTTTTAATATTTTCATCGAGAATTTTAAAGTGCCAGTTATATAATCAATTTATTACTTTTATACGTTGGAATTAAAAAGTAATTAAGTTGTTTGAGTATCTAATTACATTAAACTGCATTCTGTCAAGCTTCAATATGGCACAGTGGTTAGATTGAAAATAATTGAGGAAAATAACCTGACGTGAAAAATAGATGAGAACTATCTTGGAAGCGGGTTGTATATCATATCTTTTGAGCACAATGAGAGCTATGAATTTATGAAGGGTACGAGTGCACAAACTAGCTTAATATTTTTATATATTGAGATTAATACATAAAAGATATTTAAAGACAAATTCATAGAACTGTTACAAAGACGGACTTTAATTCGTTTTATAAATGTAAGCAAGAGATTGGTAAAACGTGCGCCTGCCTGCTTTGTAGGAGACAGGACGATAAGCAAATGACAATGGAGTTGAGACACAGATTTCCTTTCCAGGGACCCCTAATTCCCCGGCAGAAGACTGGTAACGAAACAATGATGTGGTTATAGTCGATTTGAGCTGGACTCATTACTTTATCGCTGGGCCCCGGCATTTGTTACGTTCAGATAAAATAACGTGTGATCATTGTTGTATGAAGTGTGTTAAAGAAAACCTTTCTTTTAATATTTTTTTTACCAAAAAGAGTGGCAATACAGCATGAAGATACCGTTTTTTTCCCATTTTTGTTATGGTATTCTATTAAATACCTCCCGCTAATTTAAATGCCTGTGTAAGGAGTGAGTTACGTCAGTACAACGGGATGGGGTTCAATACCCAATCTCATCACTTTATAACCCACATTTAGAGTGAAGGAGTGATTCACGATGGTGAAACTCACGAACATGTTACGCATCTATGGCTTATGGTGTAAACCATATAGTGTAGCGTTGAAGTTACACGAACAAGTTATGATTAAGTACTCTATTAGTTATACTTTTATTTGTTTTTGTTTACGGAAGAGGGGGCAGACGAGCATACGGGTCACCTGATAGAAAGTGACTACTGCCGCCCATGAACGCCTTCAACCTAGGAGTCATAAAGTCACTTAGGTTTTACGATACTGTTGGCAAGCGAGTAAATGGTTTCATTACGATAACGCCGCTTATGGACATCTGTAACTCAAGAACCGTTCTAGAGTGCCCCCTAGAATTAGGGAGCGGGGAGGGTTGCGGCTCCTGTAACATTACTCACAAATTTCAAGATCAATAAAATTCCTTAGTTTTCTGAGGCTGAAGTATCAATCTGGTCAAGCCACCCCATATTATGTGCTGAAGTATCACCATTCAGCCATCCAGCGCAGCTTTCAAACACATCCATACTTATCCATACTAATGTTTTAAATGCGAAAGTGTTTCTGTCTGTCTGTCAGATTTTGATGAAATTTGGAAAAGAGGTCGTCCGAGTCCCGGGAAAGAATATAGGGTAGTTTTCATACCAAAAATCATCCTTTAAAGAGTTGAAAAGGCGGGTGAAAATTTGAACGGGGAATCAATAACCACTGCACCGATTAAAATGAAATATTTATTTATTGACTGCACGGATGGCGTAGTGGTTAAAGCGGTCGCCACGACGCTTCATACTGCGCCGAGTGTTGTGGGTTCAAATCCCACATGGGACGACACTGTGTGATCCACAAATTGTTGTTCTGAGTCTGGTTGTTCTTTGTGTCCGTTTCATGTATGTTTGTAAAGTCCCCCGCGACACAGGATTTATTCCTAGTGCGGGAGTTGTCTTTTTTAAGAACAAGAAATATGGTATGAAGATACTTTGTTGAGGAAAGACAGGATAATTTTTACCGCAATAACCGATATTTACACGGGCGAAGTCGGATAGTAGATCTGTTTAGTTCAGTTTAATGAAATCACAGAAATCATTGTTTGAAGACTAAAATATGAATTAAAAGTAGTTTTAGTAAGTATATTATTCTCTAGGAGGTAAATAAAACTATAGGTTATTATTACTGGAGTTGTTAATGGGAAAATCTTATTTATAAGCCAATGTTTATTTAAGTCAATGCACTTTATAACAAGCAATAGAAATTAACTTGAAAATAAAAGTATTTAAATCATGTATTTGTCTAGATAATGTCGCAATAAGAAACGTAACAGCGACATAGAAGTTGACACACATCGACAACGCAAAGGAATTTAGCGGCCAACAGTTGGACCCTATTTTTTTTGACGTTTTCACAGCGATATATATCTAGATATATAATTGATATAAGAGTAAAAACCGCTTAAAATTCAAACGAGATTCAGCATGTTTCAGGAAAATAAAATGAAAAAATCCTGACGATTGCCGGTTATTTACAAAAGTTCTAAAATATGTCTATATTTTTCTCTAACGCGTTATATATTTATAAGTAATTTAATAGTTTACACACCTTTACTCATTATTTTATTCCAATTCACATTATCTCGTATTTGTCACAAAACCACACCACTCACACACTTTAAAACTTGCACTAACCATTGTATATATCTATTCCTTTAAGTATTGACGCGCAGAACTATTAACATCTAGAGAAGAATAATAAAAAAACATATTTTTACTAACGTCAGAAACTGTGACTTACTTTTAGAAAAATGCTTTAATACTATCTTGAAATAATGCTTACTTTATTAGCTCATAAGATTGTAACTGGTGTTTTGTCTTAACGCTACCGCACATTTAATGACCGTGACGAAATTATAATTCTCTGTATTTAAGTATCTTTCATCAACAGCCTTTACTAATCTACTGCTAAAAGAGGTTTTGGTCTACTATACCACGCTAACTAGACGGGTTGGTATAGGGTTTGTGTCAAGTTTTCCTTCTCTCAACAGTGCTGTTGTCCTGCGAGTTTGCTTCCTTAGTCGCCTCTTACGACACTCAGGGACGAATAGGGGATTAAGTATCTTTAGTAACACATATATTTAAAAAATAAGGTATATCAATTATAATTTGCCTAGAATATTTGTTAGAAGATAATGTTATTTTTCATCAAATATAAAGTTAAAAAAAAACATGTCAAAAAAAGTGTCGAAGTTTTTTGCCCGTCCTTCTTCATAGGATCTACGTATCTATACAAATAAATAAAATTGAAGTGTCTGTTTGTAATGTCAAAATAATAGGGTTTTTTCATGCTCACACGGTTATTTACACGATACCTATGCCTTAAAACCAGTTTAAACATATTTGTCTATCTGTCTGTCTATCTGACTGTCTGTTTGTTAAGGGTAATCTTCAAAATGGCTTGACCGATTTGAAAATATTATTAAAATCGGTACTACCAGCTGTTTATAGCGGCACCGAATCGCGGGCACTAGCTAGTTGTAAATATATTCTAGACTAATTCTGATTAATTCCTGTAATTCAAAAACAATTGGCTTAACTAAAGTAATTTTGAAACCATTAACTACCGCTTCATAGAAAATCGATATGTAGATATAATACATTAAAAACCGACTTCTCGACTCTTGTGAAAAAATCCAATCGTCTACGCTAATATCATAAATTAGCGTCTATGGAGTAAATTATATTTGTTAACTTTTAAACTGACGTTTAGTGATAAAAAAACATTATACGTAATTGAGTTAACTATCACGTCTTTACCTGACGTTACGACGAGGTTGCACTAGCCGTTGTCACAAGCTCCGGTTGTCTTAATAACAGCAGTTCCCGGATCCCTCCTATTACAGGCGCAGAGTGACACACCGTGTGGTTTTAGTCGGTCCGATTCCGACATACCACCCCGCCGTAAACCCCGGTGGGGTGACGGCCCGAGGGGTTTCCACATGTAAAAAAAAAAGCCGTTGTCACAAGCTGAATATAAACTATATTAAATTGCTTTGTAGAAAGAATTTTCTTGTCTAAAACTTCATAAATCTATGCGAACTGTACGAAAAATGTACTATATCGATAGATAAGAGGTAAATACATAGAATCCTATCATATCGCAATATTTAAGTAAAGATTATCTCCAACTCGTAGCTTGTTTATTTTATTCAGTACAAGGTTGACATAAAATGGCAGTTTCATTTTATTTGTCAATATTTTTCTATCCTTTTTATTGACAGAACTGTGTTTATTAATTCTGACTTAGGAGCCAGAGGCTATGGATATTATTCCAAACAGGATTTTGTGATGATCAAGACTAATTGTTCTTTGTCAGGGTGTAATTTATGTGTCACCATGAAATAAGTTTATGCGTCAGCAGTCTGGTTACCATAGTACAGACTCTGACTAGTTTGATTAGACGACCGCATGTTAAATGTCAAGTTTTTTATTTGATACAGGCAGAGGGCAGACGAGCCGTCATACCTAGCCGTGACCCGTCGATCACCTAATGGCAAGTAACCATCGCCGCCTATTAACGTCTGCAACTCAGGAGTTACAAACGCGTTGCCAGTCGTTTAGGAAGGACGTGCTCTTTTATTATTGTTTTATTATTGTTTACTATTTGAATCGCGCAACTTCGTCTGCTTCTCTCAAAAGGTATAAATTTTCGCAACATTTTTTATTGATACTTAACTCCTATTGGTCGTAGCATGATGTTATATAGCCTTGATCCTTCCTTGATAAAAGGGCTATCCAATACTAAAATATTTTTTTAGTTTGAACCAGTAGTCCCTGAGATTGCCCTGAACATACAAAGTAACTAACTTTACCTCTTTATAATATTGTCTTTATAATTTAAATATGTTTTAAATTATTGTTGTTCTTACTTTTGCGTTCGTCTTTTCTTATCTGTATATACTCGTAGCTTCTTTATAGTCGGGGTGTCACAGGTTCAAAAAACATGTTTTTTCACCATATTATCATATTTACAATTATTCCATTATTTATGTGTTTGGTCAGTTGAATCTGTGTTAGAGACTGGCATCTGTACTAGGAAGACCTGTATGACAGATTTACCATCCTCTCCAATTCTAGACAAGTTACCTTGTCTAGAGGTGGAGAGGCTTGAGGTTACTCTGATTTATTCCCTTAAGCGTAACCATGTGGAAGTGTGGACATGAGAGATGTAAAATAAAAGTAATAAATGAATATGATAATATGATGAATGAACATAAGAATATTAATGAATGAAACGTGAACTATGTGTGTGTGTGTGTGTGTGTGTGTGTGTGTGTGTGTGTGCATGTGTGTGTGCATGTGTGTTAGTACGTGTGCGCGCGTGTGTTTGTGTGTGTGCGTACCTAAAAAAGAATGCTCATCACTTGTTTGTGTAATTTGGGTTAGCATTATGCGTGTTTATATAAGATATGTATTTTAGTCTTGATATAATAATATAGTCTATTATGTAATTGGGTTTAAAAAAAAAATATATGGGCAATTAATTTGCCTCTGTTTACCCTTGCGAGGTAGTGTTTCTGTAGTCTTGTGTTCCACAGTTATATCATCACTTAAATATATTATCTCTTTTGACATTACCGTAATTGACTTCACTTAAAAGCCCTATTTTATCAGTTATTAGTTTACGACTATTATGATAATGATAACGCTTAAAAGCGTATCCATTTAGTTACAAATTCGAATTTACATATTATTGTATTTGTACAAGAATTAACGAGAACTAATACCAGTATTAGAGAATCCGCATACTGTCAGACAGCATGGCTGTCCAAATGGCACTAGAGGGCAACACAATGACCTCTGGTAATGTGTTTGAATGCCATCAAGCATTGGAGCAGCTTGCCACAAAAAATGGGGTGCTCTTCCAATGGATAAAAGAGCAAAGTAATTCACACGGGAATGACGCTGCAGATAAGTTGGAAAGGAGGGGCTCGGCAACCCCGGCTGCCTGCCCAACCACACTCCTGCCACAGTATTTTAACCAACTTCGGTCCTGGGTTGGACAGCGTACTCGTGAAGCGCACAACCGAAGGTGGAAAAACTCACCCGGCTGCAGACAGTCCAAACTGGTGCTGACCGAAGTCTCACCACGACTTACTTGCAGACTGATCGGTCGTGGAAGACTAGATATCCGAATAGTTGCAGGAACCGTAACAGGACACCTATTTCTGAACCGACAACTATTCGTCATTAATGCGATGGACAGTCTTCTTTGCAGAGGATGCCTGAAAGCAGAAGAAACGGCCGCCCACGTAATCCTGAAATGCGAAGGAGTGGCCACACAATTTTGTACCATACCTGGTACAAAATTGCTCCTAGAAGCCTGATAATGCCCCTAGAGGCTTCTGCGCTTCTGGAACGAGCTTGGTTGGCTTACCTTGACAACTTCTTCTAGACGCATAAAGGACTACTCTCAAGTCTAAATGCGGAAATCGGAGCCCACAAAAACAACCAGTGTTAGGTATGTAGTACCTATTATGTGATCACGTTGCTTGATTCATAGTGGTGGTCGTTGTCGTCCGTGTAGTGACGGATTAAGAATACGGATTGTGACCACCCCCATTCATCTCGTGGGTGTCGTAAGAGCCGACTTAGGCAGCAAACTATGCAGGACAACAACACTGCAAAGACAAGGAAAACTTGACACAAACCCTATACCAACCCGTCTGGCCAGCGTGGTGTAGTAGCCCAAAACCTACTTTCTAAGGATGATTCTATGTCCAGCAGTGGACTGTTAAAGGCTGTTGTTAAAGGATGAATCTTCTTAGAACCATTAACAAGATAAATATTAGAACATGTAGTTCTAAATACTTTGAGATTTTCTAGTAATAGGTGTAGTGAGTTATTATAGAGCATTCATCACAAAAGGGAATAGTGTAATGTCAATAACAGACATCTCTAAGTTCTCGTTTTATTTGTTGTAAAGATAAACATCGGCCCTTGAATGTAAACTTTGTAGTGCTTACCGACCGTATTAATGGTTCTCACTTCTCACGAAATTTTACTTGAAAACCATTAGGCAAATTAATAAAAGAGATGTTTGCAAAGCTTCTTATGACATAGTAAATAATTTCAAGAAATACTTAGACCGTATTAAATTAAATGATCAAATCAATTCACAAATTAATCCAATTAATGTTGGAAATTACTGAATAATTTCCTTTTTAAATTGTGACGCTCTCGAACGTGCCATGTTAAATTAGAAAATGCCTGTAGATGATATGGTAACTAGGCAGTTTATACAAAAACGAATACAAACTAAATAAATTCATTTCTGTCCAATATTATTTAAAAATGTTTAATTGGTTTGTGTACGCTTTAAAAATTAAAAAAGTTCTTACCGAATGAACCCAAATTTTGCTTACTCTTCGTTCTCTCTTCGTTCTTACCGAATGAACATACGCTTCAAATATTGTTTTAATATTTTTTGCCTCAGTTTTATTCTCATTTCTCATCATCAATAGCCATTAATAGTCCACTGCCGGCTATAGGCCTCTCCTTGGAAGGGAGGCTGTGGCCTACTATACCACGCTACCCCGTCTGGGTATAAGTTGGT